ATTATCAACACTGAATCTTAGGAGGGGGACACTACATGCTTTGGCCACTAATCACAGAGAGAAGCAGGTTTTAAATTTTCAACACGTATTTTTGTTATGTTTTAATTTTTTCAAAAATATTGTTGGCATATTATTATTACACAAGTATTTACCAACAAAGTAGTTTGAAAACTTAAGAACTAGTAAATTAGTTGCACTAGTCATGACCAGGGAATGTCAAAACAAACACAGAACATTTTAATAAATGTAGTGACTAAATACCGTAAAAGTCTTATACTATTTATTGGAAAATGTAGAGAAGATATTAATGAAGTACGTAATAAATCAAAACAAAAAGCAATAGAGTTATCAATAAAACCAATATTTTCATCAATTCAACCTAGAAAAAAGAGAAAATGCCTGATAAATTATTAACATTATCAGAAACAAAAATAAATAAAAATAATTTAAAATACATTTTAAATTTTAAAATAAAACGTTTGTGGAAAAATCTTGAACAGCTCAAAAGTAGTATTTGACTTTATTAATAAAAACGCAAAAGATTTTTCTTTTTTTGTTGGAAAGTTTTTATTTACTATTATAGCAATTTTTTTCTATAACTCTAGTTAACATCTTGTGAACATAGTTTCAGTAAACTTAAACTAATTAAATCAAATTACGAGCAAACACAAAATAAGAGAGATTGAATGATCTGTTAGTCATATCAAATGAGCACGGAATTGATAAATCCATAAATTATGAAGACGTAAACGAATTCGCCACAAAAAAGTATTAATTCAGTTTATTTGTAGTAGATGCTTTATTAAATTAACGTATAATTTTTAATTTAAACCTACTATTAGTTGTAAGCAATTGATTGAAAATAAATATTTTCATACTATATGAATATATATATATATAGTGTCTTTATGCAGTGTGAACGTTGAATTTAAAACCTATTGTACCTTAAAATTGTCTAAAATAATACATATATTAACTCATTTTAAGCGAATTATTTATTGGTAACTTTTATGTGCGCTAGTATACCGGGTAACATGATCTGTATATTACTGCTTATTATATGATATAACATAATAATACATACGGTGGATCAGTAGCGCCATTTTAATTTTATAATAGAGGTGCCAAAATTTAAGCAGGCCAATTTTTTTTCGTCAGGCCATTTAAAAAAAAAAAAAAATAGTAAATACAGATATCGTTTGTGTGTAAGTCATTTATATGGGGTTTAACTCTTGAAGGGTATATTTTAATGAATTCAAATTGTTCATTAATAATTTATTTGCCTTTTGGTATAGATCTAAAAATATTTAATATACATAGGTACTTACATTTAATCAACACAATTTATTCCAAATAAAATTACATATATTGATTTATTTATTAACATAATAATTATAATAAATAATACCATACAATATAAATTAGTATTTTAAATTAATTATGCTATTCTAGCTTATACCTTCTACTTTTTAGTATAGAAAATTTATCTACTATTTCGTTTAAATCTATTTTGTTAGCATTTTCTTTTTCTTTTGCTATGACCATTAAATCACTTAATCGTTTGTCACCCATTGAAGATCTAAGTTAAGATTTCACTTTTTTGAGTGAAGAAAAAAATCTTTCGTTTGATACAGTACTCACTGGAAGAGTGTTTATAATTTGAAGTATCTTTAATGTTTCTGAAAATGCTGCTGGTAGTTTTTTGAGTTTATCAATAATTTAATTTAAATCTGGTTGTTGGATTTGTAGATGAAGCAATAACGCTTATTAAATCATTTTCGTATTCGTGGGATGTATAATGACCGTACCTCGATTGCATTTTTAATATTGTATTCTTGTCTCCAAATGTCTCTAATAGTTCAATAAAATTACCTCTATTTAAAGACTTCCTTTCTTTATTATGGCCACGGAATGTAAGTTCTTGTTTTGCAAGATACAGAGAATCTTTTAATAAAAAAAAAAACATGATTACCATAATTATCTTTAATATCTTGTAGTCTTGAGTGAGTTAATAAGTTAGCAATACAGTTATCATTTGGTTTAGTACTCAAATATAGCGTCCATTTTTCGATGCTGGACTTGTGTTAATCACTTTTGCTATGAATCTTCAAACTCACAGATTGTTTTTTCCAACTATTAAATTCTCGATTGATGAATATGTAGTTACCACTATATTGGTCACGAATACATTTATTTGTTGAAAAATGTCTACATGCAAAACAATAAACTGCATCATTTAACACAGAATATTCAATCCAGTTATATGATTTATAGTAATTTGTATTTAAAGATCTATCGTCTTGATTTCTTGGAAATAAAATTAACAGATGTTGCTCCGGCGTATGATTTTTATTCAGAGAAATATCAATTGCCTATAAATTAAAATTGAAAAAAATAATAATCACTCACTTTAAAAAAAATAAAAAATAAATAAGTAAGATAATAAGTCTTAAAGACTAATTGATAACATTAAAGTTAGGATGATTACAATTTGAACATAATATACCTACATAGTAAAAGAAAATGCAAGTTTGCATTTAAATTTAGGGGTAGGTATACAGATCAATTATTGTGTAACGAATAGGGCTTGGAACTTAATGCACTTAAAAAGTACTAAATATGCATGAACCTATAATAGCCTAACCTTATAATAGCAAAAATAAGCTTTAAAAGTAGTTTAAAGTATAAAGTTTTAGTTTTTTGTTTTACTTACAATGTTATAAATTCAAATATTTTATAATTTTTAATAAATATTCATTAATAAAATTGAGAAATTGTATGTCAACTAGGTATTTGAAAACATAATACAATAATACCTAGGTAGTAAAAACTCTTAAAATAAATATAAATCATATAGATTTTTTTTCTGTTGCCAAATTTTCAAAATGTATTATAATTATATAATAAATCATCAAATATGCTCAAAAAATGATAAATTTAAAAAAAAATATGCTCTTAAAATAACGAAATATATTGGGTTTATAAATTTGATTTACCTTCTGTATAATATCTTTATCTTTAACATTAGATTCATTTCTACATTCATTTAAATTATTGTCTTTACTTATACTAGTTTTAAATGGATTAATAGAAGTCTGATTATTTGGTTTTAAAACTAGAGCTCTTAATACACGTGAATTCACGGAATTCACGTGTCACGAGTCACGTGTAAAATCCAAAATAAAAACGTATATCCTTAACTTAATACTGTACTATTAATATTTTATTAAAACTTCAAGTGTATAACATAAAATTACTAATTTTACCATTGTAAAAATGGATATATATTTTGGATAAACATGTATTTCACGTGTACACGTGAATTCCGTGACAAGTGTTTTAAGAGCTCTATTTAAAACTGTATTATTTGGTGTCGGTAAAATAACATGAATGTTGGCAACCTATAAATTAGTATAATTAAAATAAATACTAATTAATATAATAAATATATTGTGTGATTATAAATTTAACTTACTTCCGGTATATCTTTTTATTCGACATTAAATTAATTTCTAAATTCAACTAAATTATTGTTTTTACTTACACTAGTTTCAAATGGATTAATAGAAGTCTGATTATTTGGTTTTAAAACTGTATTATTTGATGTCGGTAAAATAATAGGAAAATTGAAAACCTATAAATTAGTATAATTAAAATAAATACTAATAAAATAATAATAATAATAATAATAATAATAATAATAGTAATAATAATAATAACATAATAAATATATTACAATTTATAATAGAATTGTTATTTGTTTGTAATTACCAGCTAGTAAAAACATATTTTTACATTGAAATTTGAAAATTTACTTACTGTAATTGTTGACTGTGTTTTTTTTTTTTAAAAAATTTGCTCTATACTGTAACATTTGGATGATGTGTCAATCATTTTTTTTTGTTTTTGTCACGTAAACGAGAATCTCCACCTTTTCTCTTTTTTTTTGTTTTGGAAATTCATGACAAAATTAAAAAAATTAAATAAATATTCGATAACTAAATTTAATGTCAACACTAAACGTTTTTACGTAAATTACGTTAACATAATATGAAAACTTCAATTTATTGTATAACTTTACATTTCATTTTTGAGCTATTTTAAGAATGTTTTTTCTGGTAATCAGTCGACAGACGTAGTTAGATAATATTATTATTGTTAAAACGTATAACCGTCTGAACAACATCTATTATATTTTTATATAAACCTATATTTATACTATATTTTATTATACCGCATTTATATATACTAACGGGCAACGATAAAAACACAATCTGAAAAGTTGGAAATAGCTTTGATCAATAATCATGCATAGACGCATAGTGCAAGCTATAATCTTATAAAAAACTAAAAATAAAAAATATTATGTATTTACCTACATAATAATATTATATTTTATTTTTACAATATATTTTATTGTTTACGCTTAAGGCCATAGACCATCGCCTGTGCGCCGTCGGTGCATTGTAAATTTTATTCCAGGCCAATTAGACACAGAAACAAATAGAGGAGCCAAAGTATACCCTGCTCCCCCCCCCCCAAATGTCGCCCCTTCGGCAGATGCCGTATGCACGCATACAGGTTATTGACGCATAAAGCCTGCTTACTAGCTGCGTTTACACATTTCCCCTGTCGATAACCCGTAATCATCATCAATACTGTTATTATTATAATAATTTTAATTATTATAATTATAATTATTATTATTATTATTATTATTATTATTATTATTATTATTATTACTGTTTTTATTTCTACGGTTTCGCGCGTTTGAACGCCATCACGACCGTTTGACGTTCGACCGGTTTCAATTTATAGCCATGCATAGCGTTTACCCCCCCCCCTCCTCCTTGATGACCGTGCAAATAATTAATTGGGGCGTAACAACGTACAGCGTAAATGGTTTTATATTGAACTAATAATTTTTAATTTTTCTTCCTTCCCGTACCTACCAAGGGTCGAGGATGAAGAACAATCGCTATTCGCGCATGGCCCGAAAATTCGCACGTCAGTCGTACGACGATCGCCTGCAAGTGTCCAACAATGTCGTCCGCTTGTCGCGCAATCGTTTCTGCTTTCATTCTGACCGCGTTCGCGTGGTTTCGTACTATCGTAGCCGCCGGTGAGTACCGCATTGTATTGCAAAAGCAATGACAAAAAGGTCCTGGGTTCTTTTACCGAGCACACGTCTTAGCCCATTCGTATGCTTTCAGATCCCCAGGCGCTGGACTGGTGGCAGACCTCCGTTATATACCAAGTATACCCGAGATCGTTCAAGGACAGTAACGGCGACGGCGTCGGAGATCTAAAAGGTTAGGTATATATTATTGTACTATAATCAGGACTCGAAAATTTGTGCACTTATATGACTGTCATATGTATGTGTTTAAGCGCTAAAAAATTACCAGACACCTGCGCACGATAAAAAGATAAAATATACAGGCGATAGTATTTATTTTACTTTAAGTGTTAAAAAATTTTTTAAATTTATAAGTATTTGATTTTTATTAGTTGTTATTTTTGTAAATTTTACATTTTTTTTAGTATTATGTATTTACTACTTTACAACGCCAGTGTTGCACTGTGTTATTATGGTTATTTTAAATTTGATCAAACTTGAATCTAAACATATTTGAGATAAACACAATTATACGGGTCGGTAATTTATCATTTCTCCACCTGTTAATTTAAATTATTTTTAAAAAAAGTTCGAAAATGTACTGAAATCCGGATTTTAAATATAAAACTCTAAAATATGCAAAACGAAAATAATAGTATTTGATTCAGTAGAACATGCATCGAATTTTTATCCAAGGCTCTGCGTTAAATTGGACCAATATTTGGATAATTGGAAATGTAGGACCTCAAAAGTACTTATATAAGTACTATAAATTCAATTAAATAAAGTGTTTTATTTGTATTCGATGAACTAAGAACGATTTGTATGATTTTTTTTAGAAAACAATTGAAACTGGAATAACTTTTATGACTGATGAATGGGTAGAATGGCTGTTTAAGTACCTACGTAATTAGGGAGAGGGTTAGGAATAGCTTATTAGCCCTATCTCCAAACCATTTTAAATCTTTCTAAAGATAATTATGTATATTGGGTGGAAGACGAAACCCCTCACTAATTTTGTTTCCTCAAGCCCACCAGCTAAATGACAAACAGTATAAAATATTATGCATAACAAAATGAAACCCTATTTCACTTGGATACGCAATCACGTATGAACGGCTGGACTGATTTCGCTAATTATTTTTTTGTTATGTATTTGTTATTGTCAGGAGAATATTATTATTAAAGAACGGATTTAGTTGATATTGCAACTTTTTATTGATGCCCACTAAATTAAATCTTATCAAATATGTATACGAATCAGATTAATTACAGTCTTTCTATTTAATTTAATAATGCAATTTTTTGCAATTTTCAACGATTTTGCAATTTTTTGAAATTATTGCAATTTTTGTATACTTCACGTGATAAAATATACAAATTATTATTTCCAAAGTGATTTTACAAAAAAAAATATAACTACGACATAAATTTTAACGTGTACTTAAATGTAGTTTCGGACTTTTAAATTATATTTTTCTGGGTTATCCACAAAACTCACAAGTTTAGAAGAATAAAATATTCAATTACTTAATAGTTTAAACATATTTAGTATAAATACTAAACAAATACCAATTAAATAAAAATATTTAGTATAAATATTTCTATAAATATTTTAAATATTCCCGGTCCTAATGGAAAAATAGTTAAAGATAAATTAAAATATGTCTTGAAAAAAAAATTAAGGATATAAAAGTATTAAAACTTACTCTGAGATTATAACAGAAAATTAAAATGTTTATTTAGATATAACACACAATTTCTAAACTATTTTAAATATGTATCGATAACAAGTATCGACGTTGAACATATTTTTTCATTATATAAACATATTTTAAGTAACAGACGATACAATTTTTAAGAACACAATTTAGAGATGTATATAATTATAAATTTTAATTCAGAAAAATTATATATTTTGTAAACATTATACAAATGTCCATAATATTATTTAAGTAAGTAATTAATGATTATATATTTGATACGATTTCACTATGTAATTTTAATGTATTTCATTGCAATTTTAACATATTTATACTGCAATTTTGGCATCTTTTTAGTGCAATTTTAAAATACTTTTAATGCAATTATATCCGGTCTTTAGTTATTATGAAAGAAAAAATTAAGAAGATTGCGCTGAAAATTAGAAAATTTAAGAATACTTTACTAGTAATTTATAAAATTATTTCTAATCTAACCATAGCGCTTTGGACAACATCAACTTTTTAAATGTAACCTTTTGAAGTTTGACATAGAATTGACAGAATGCGTGCTGTAAATATTGTCAAAGAGGATGTAAAAAAAACTGAATACCGTTTACAACAGATTTTCCGTTTGGAGTTATTTTATTGATAAAAAAAAATCATGTATCTACTTATTATATTTATTAATATATCTATGTAAGATAACTGAAGAATTCAATTATTTATTAGTACACAACACGATTAGTTTAGTACCATCACGCCTAATAATAAAAGTTCAATTTAATATGGAATTTTGGTAAGTTTGGATAGACTAACATATACTTTATTAACATTACATAAGTGATATACTTTGTTTTAAAGAAGAATACAATAGTTTTCTTTAATATACAGTTGAATTTTCGTTTTTAAAAATACCAGCAGTTAGACGTACAAACTTAAGTCGCAGAACTCGTAATGCTACTAGTCAAAGATATACAAGAGCGAGTCAAATTGACGAGTAACGTGAAGTGTGGAATGAAGTCGAACGAAATCAATGGAATCGAAATCAACAACATAGAAATGTTGCGTTAGACCCCTAATCGTTGCTATTGGACCGACGAACGTTATGTGCTAATATTGAAAGGCATTTATGTTTAAACATTAAGCTTCTGGATTGTGTTGCGCGAGTTGTCAAGTCAAATTGACTTCATTGGTACCGCCACCAGAGCTACATTCATATCCAGCAATACAATAATTGTTTTAAAATGACGTAATTTGGTTTTAAAAAAATTTATTCAAGAAAATTGTATGACATATTTATTTTATTAATTATACCAATTCGAATTCAATATTCATAATTAATACATGACTTCGTCTTTCGGGGCAGCTAGTCCATATATGTATAAAAAAAAACTTAGCAGCAATAATTTATTATTTGAATATTTATAATATATTTAACGACAACATTTCAATTATCCGAGTGTTATAGACATAATATCTTACAACGAAAATGATTATTTCGTCAGCTTCAAATTATATTTTTCTTGATTCAAAAGAGCAGCCTATTAGAGATGCATTAACGTTGGAGTGTAGTTTTTAAATATCAATTTTTGTATTCTCATTGTCCCGCAAAACGGCACCACCATCCAACTTGTCGTCGACGGCCCGATGCGAGATTGCAGCCGTTACGTATCTCCCAGTGTCTCGCACGTTCTCAACTGTTGAATATAATTTCGTAAAAAGTTTTCAAGACATTTCGGTATCACCAGATTTGTCTGAGCTCACGTAAAAAATTTCCTTTCCGTGCGGTCCCGGCACTGATGACGAACCATTTTGCAAAACCGTAGTTCGGTGACATTTCCCGAGCAACGTCACTCGTTATTGAGAAAACATTACTTCCGACTCGGGATAACTTCGCTTGCCGTGGAGTGTAGCTTGCGCGTGACGCGTTGAAGGAAATTTCCGTCAAGTGCCAAGTCAGCATCGAAGTTTCACCAATTAATATGTCATATGAATAAAAAAAAAAAAAAGAGCATCGAAGTCATTGTGTTACGATTTTTCAAGAACGTAACTCACTCACGGTTGAATCAAACGGTTGTTTTTTCGAAAAATCTTTCCAGAATCTATACATCGGGCATGATACATATGATGGACGCACTTTTGGCGAAGTCTCAGGTATGCGATGTAGGAGGGCTGTCACTGACGGACGAGGAAAATCCATATAACGTATCAACAGGTCGCCGACAAGTGAACACACCAACCCGAAATGTTAAATGTTGTGGGTTTACACGGTTTTATACATGGGCTAGGGACGATACTAATCGATCACGGTTAAGGGGGAAATTACGTACAAACAGAAACGTGTTTCACACTTCGTGAAATGCAAAATATGTTCACGAAATGGTCACCTTTTTGTGAAACGGTCATTGCAAATTCGATGGCGAGTTGTTTTCGCACTTCGTGTACCGAATATACAACACATTTTATACGGATTTCTTTTTTTGGTCAACTCATCCGTTGAGTTCTATCAACGGCCATCAGATAACGAAATATTATACGTCCACTCAATTATGAAATGTGGAAATTTTATTATTTTTGATGCAATGTCGTATCAGCATTTTGGTTACACATTGATATTAGATATTCAAATATTCATAGCTGCTGTATGGATCACATCCCGTTGTATATTCACACGTTTTAATTCACTTTAAATATACATGAATTTACGTTTAAATCGAATTCAATTAAATGTGTGAATGAAAATAGAAAGTGATCCGTATAGCAAATATAAACTTGAACACAGAACATCATTGTAATACAAAAATGCTAATGTGATATTATAGCAAAAGTAATAAAATCTACACGTTTCAGATGGCCCGGTCATTTTATGGACGAATGAAATTTCATAATTGATTGGTTTTTTTGAGTTCAAATTCGACACATAAGTTGACTATTAAAAATGAGAAATATCCCGTATGGTACACGAAGTGAGTGACTACATTGTGAAAAAATACACGATGTCGAATCGGAGTGACCGTTTGTTAAAAATGGGAGCATTTCGTGAAATATTTTCGCACTCGTACGAAAAAGGAAATCAAGAAATAATTAGGGGAACAAACAGCGTCATTGGAATTACCTGATGAATTTCAATAGAAAATAATCTATATTTTAAAATTGCTATTGAAATTAACTAAAATAGATGATTCACTGAAATAATTTACAACGGCCGCGATCAAAAACATCAAACGCTGCAGGGAGGTTAACGCATTGACAAAAACCGTAACGGAACGAAGAAAATGAAGAAAAAAAGTGTAAAATTATTCAACAATATAGAAATTCGTAAACGAATTATAAAACGGGAAATATGTACAGTTTGCAATACAAAACGTTTGGCATTGACATCCAACTGCACTCTAGAAAATAAATATATTTTATATTATGTATAATACTGAGTTATATAATATATATAATATTTATAATAATGAGTTTTGGAATAATACAGAGTTAATAA